AGAGAGGGACGGGGAGAAGAGAGAGAAAGGGAGAAAGAGACGGTCTCTTTTTTTCTTTCGATCCAATAATCAATCAATGATCATATAATCAGGTTATCTGATAGGTTGGATGTGACTTAACATACAAAGTGATGAGCACCAAGTCATTAAGTCAAACACGGTACACAAGGTACAGATTACTACAAAGCAATGAATGATTAATGTCTTGAACGATTGCTTTACATCTGATTGCAAAGCTGGTGGGAAATTGCTACCCCACCGGTTTTGACCGACGCCACATGGTCATCATCAGGGGGATTGCCCTAAGCACTTCAACCCTCGTCGTTCCACCTTCCCTTCTCCACTGTCAATCTACGCCGTATTTCCAGAAAATGTGGACAAGCCCGTCGGTAGCAGACCCAGAGAGGCCATTGGCTACGCAATCACTGTACACATAGTCCTAATTATCGCTAATGTCTACTAAAATTAACAACACAAAACAATCCTAGTGACCGAGTTTGAATCTCTTCACATCGTCGATAAACCTGAGTCTGAAACCAGGCACCTTCCGCGCTGTTAAAATCATATCAAACAAAGCAAATACTTTTCTGCACAGCGGTTCGAAACCTTGCTACTATCCTAATATCCAAGAACTGCTATACGAAAAACAATGAGCTGGAAGCCAGGCAGGGCACCAAACAAACAGCATATCTTCCCTGTCCTTGCGTAACTAACAAACAAATAAACAAACAAACAACATGCCAGGTTGCAAGCTTATCTGTGTAGCAGACCAAGTGTCGTAACTCCCCTAAAGAACTGTATTCGTCTCAAGTCTACCTCAGCATTGTCAAAAAACAGAAGCTCCAAGAAATAGTCAAAACAAAGAAACTACTATGTTGCACACTCACCAATGTAGCAATCTCATGTATCGGAATCCCCAAAGAATCCAAAAACGATTACTACTCACACAACCACGCCCACATCATGGTCCAGAGCTCGTCTCTGCCCCTTGCAAAGCATTTCAAAATCCTGTTCAAAAACTGCTTAGGAAAGCCTTTGATCCGCAGTTCCCTTGTTAGTGTCAGCACTTTCAGAGGAATTTCACTACGGATGGTTGTATTCTTGTCAATATACGATGCAAGTGGCTGGAGACAACAGCAGTTTTCTGGTCCTTGCCACCCCAAGACTGACAAACCTTTCCGTTCTTGAATTCCAAAATCTCATCCTCACAGATCTTCTTCTCGTTCTTAGTTTGCTGAATGCATCCAACAAACGGAAAACAGGACTGCACTCTCATTTCAAGCCCTAAGAAATCCTGAACACCCAAACCATCATCAGTACGTTTAAGAGACAGGTTCTCAGGATAACAGCATTCAAATCTTCTCCGGATCTCCACCTTCAGTAGCTACTTGTTTCGGCTACTCAGTACAACAAGTCTCACATCATCCATGAATCTCAGACCGCACACGTGCTGACGTGACTTAGGCAAGCTTATCAGAAAGCGATATTCTGCAAAGGCACGCATGATGCACGCATGTGGGGGACTGGTACTTTTCCCATAGGGATTCTCACCACTTGCCTTAGCAGCACCCAAGTCACTCTCATGTACGAATGTGTGAGTTCAAGTCTCACATATTTCCGTAGTTGTTCCAAGTCGTTTGTCCTCAAGTGGTCATCGCCCATCGTTCACCCGTAGGTAGGTACTTCCCTTACCTCCTGGGTTTACTGGTACAGATTCTGTTCCCGTGCTCAGCTGATAGTCCACGGCCCAGTTCACCGCCTCTATGATCTCATCATGAGGCTTTTTCCGGAACATTAATTTTGTCGGACATAGAGACAAGCTCAGCATCTCGCCTGGCCCGTCGATCAGTCTTCTTGTTCATAGCCTGCAAACGTGGTACGGCATCTGAAACGAATTTCAGATTGAAGTGCCAATCAATCATTCAGCAAGGTGTAGAGGAGGTGGTTTAATGCCTTAGCCACACAGCGTCGAGCCCTTACCATAAAGGTCAGACAAATAGGACGATATCTTGATGTGTCCTTGTGTTTCGGCAACAAGTAGGCATCACCAATAGTCTCCTTTCTATCCCATCTGACAAACTGCTGCCAGCCCATCACCTTCGCTTCCTTCCTCATCCCTAACATCAACTCTCTCTCTTGCGAATTAGAGAACACATATCGTGGATTACTGACAAACACACTCAGCATTGCTTCATAGTAAGCATAGGGACAGAGAACATTGGTTTCTCCAACATTCCGATCCAGAGGTGTAAGTACAAATCCCTTCAATATGGCTTTCAATCTTCCGAACTCAAGCACATCCAAGTACTTTTTCCTCAGTTCAGACCTGTCCGCCAACACACAGCGGCTTCACTCCTGTGAACTGTGACTGTCTGGTCCTTGCAATTACTCCATCCATTCAGTCTGCAACTTCTTTTTAACAGGCCCCCTCCGTCACG